AGCAGCCAGCACTGACCTTGATCACTACATCATGGTGATGGTTACAGAGCAGGGCCTCGTACCAGGAGTGCTGCAGGAACCCTGCTGGCCTGGCCAGCCATGGTCCTTGTGGCTTCCAAACCCATCTGTTTCAGAGGCTGCAGTTGGTGGGTAAGTGCCACCTGAGCTCCAGCTGCACCAACAGGGGTGACTTGAGTAACAACTGGCATCTCTGGTTAGCAAACAGGGGCTGAGCCCAGGCTGCTCCCCAGCTCCGTGCAGGCAGCACTGCTATGCGAGAAGCTCTCTAATCCCAGCACTCAACCCGAGGGGTCAGGCACCGTGAAGGTAGGAGCTCTTCATACTGGTGCTCTGCTTCTCTTCCAGGCCAGAGTCCTTGTGCTACTTTAGCCTCAGTGTGTAGTGACAGTATAGAGCAGTGTTTGCTGCTCAGCTTGCTGTGGAGTTCTGCTGCTTTCTGGAGGAAGGGATGGTTTATGCCCAGGTAACAACTCTGTCTCCAAGGTGAGCAGACAGGTCAGCTCTCTCCTCTACAGGGCTCTGATTGGGATTCTAAATTGATGTTGTTGGGTTCTGGAGAGCTGGATAACACACTGCTTTTACTTCATCCCCTTCCATAACAGGAGGGCTTCGATGGAATTAAATCCACCTGCAGACAAGCACCTCCCTTGTTTGTATGTGTTGGAGACTGAGGAGCCGTTTCTCCTCTCTCCAACATGGACCTTCTGGTTTTGTGCAAGGTTTACATGGGCAGCGTGAGCCTCAATATCCCTTTCTCTCAGACCCTGCCACTTGCCATGCACTGTACTCCCAGGAATGATTCCAAGAACAACACACTGAGTACCTTAAAGAGAGTTCCTCTGGCTTGAGCTGGGGTGGAGGAAGATGGGTGCAGATCATGGCGTGTTCTGCTCTGTGAACTGCCTGACAAGAGCCACACGGTGCCTTAGTCTAGGGGCAGACTTGGGCATAGCTGCACCCCAGAGCACCACAGGGACAGGGCTGGAGATTGCACAGCAAGGCCAACAGAACAGAAACAAATCTGGCTACAGACTCAATGGCTACTGCAAGGATTCCCACCATCTGCCTTCCAGAGCCCTTAGACTGAGAAGAGGAAGGGGTTTGTGTCCACAGGCATGGCTGCAATTACCCAGGCACTATTTAAACCAGTTCCCGATTTGCAGTAACAAAGCATCCTCCTAAAGCTCAGAGCAAACACCCAGCCTCAGGGCCCTGAGCACCGCACAGGGACACCCTGTGATCACAGGGGGACCAGCTACACTAATTCCACTCAGGTCAGAAGAGACGCCACTCGGGCTACATACCATGGAACAGGAGCAGGCAGCAAGCCAAGGAGCCTGGTGCAACATCTTCCTGCTTCAGCCCTTCACCAGAGCAAGCACCTCCTGCAGCTCCTCCTTATATTGGCTGGTGAAGTCTCCTCCCCTGGGGCCACCACAGCCCACCTGAGGCAGCTGATGGTGAGCAAACCTCCACAGGGTTCACCTGGGGGACCTTGGCTCTACACGGAGCGTGTTCCCCCTCTGACACCACAGCATCCAGTGCAGGGCTCCGCGTGCCTGCAGTGCAATCCAGCCCTGCCGCGGTGAACGTCCCTCACCTGCAGAGGTGACGTTAGAGGGTGAAGCTGAGGTCCTCAGAGGCCATCCCCCCTGGCCCCACTGATGTGGGTGTTACTGATGTGCTCCCAGTTGGTCCAGGGTGATTCCTCTTCATGTTACCAGGGCTGAGGGAATAGTTGTCTGCTGAGGAAAGGCCAAGCCGAGGAGCTCTGGGAAGGATCAATGTGTTTTTCTACCTCTTCTCTCTCTTTCCCATCGCTGTGTGTGACTCTTGTTGTCAACTCTTTCATGTCCTGGAGCCAGATCCCAGCAAGCAGCTGGCAGTGTTGTGCTGCCCGAGATGTGCCCCCAAGGTGAGGAGAGGAGGAAGGAGTAGCGTGATGTTGTGCCTGGCTCAAAGGCAGCATCCAGCCACTTCTTCCTCCGTGCTGTACCTAAACACGCCTGTCGGTAGCACAGACCTGGCTGGATCATGATCCCATTAACCTGAGCTCTCTGGACCAGTGGGTGCAGAACACTGGCCTCTGTCTGGCTTGAGCTCATGGCAGCTCCCAGGCCCTATTTGTGGGCTCAAGCCTCTCACACTCCTAAAAGAAGGGCTCTCCTTCAATGCCAACCTCTGCAGGCTGCAGCAAAGTTGCCGTTCAGAGGACTCTGCTGCTTGAGCCTCCTGGAGTCCTCTGAAGGCAGTTGCTGCAGCAGCCCTGGCAGGGAGCACCATGCTGCAGGCTCTGGTGGTGTGGACTTGCTCTCCCATCATAAAACTGAGCTCATGGGTGCAGGAGTGAGGGGAAGGGGCATCAGTGTGGCAGCTGCTGCTGGGTGAAGGGCGAGCTTGTCCCTGGAGTTGGCCTCCTGTGTCCACGGAGCGTCCTTCCCCATTGGTGTTAATGCCGAGTGCTTCCCGACGTCTCCAACACTGATCTCCTTTCCTGTTGCTCTGTGGCCCCTACAGCTTTGGAGCGACGAGGTGGAAAAAGTAAGTACCCAGCTAAACTTGTGCTCAAACCTTCTGGGGGTGATGCTGGTGCTCAGGGGTGGGGGTGCCGTGACTCCTTCCTGCTCGTGTGCCTGCATGCAGGCAGGGGAGGATCAGGGGGATGTTGCTGTCATCAGCCCCATCCTGGTCCTGCAGCCGTATGGTTCCGTGCAGCAGTGACTTGGGAAGAGCCTCCAGGTGGGCTGGGGCTGTACCCAGTGTCAGAGGCAAACTGGGCGCGTGTTTGGATGTGAGAAAAGGCAGTTCTGCGGACCCTGCACCGGTGTCACAGAGCAGAGGTGATGCGATGTGCTGTGCGGTGCCTCAGCTCTGCTCCGGTGGCAAAGGCCCTGCCTGCTCCTGTTTTGCATGTGCCATGCAGTAGCCTCTAGTAGCCCCTTGCCTGCTTGTCCTGGGGTCCGAGCGGGAGCTCTGAGCAGAGCTGAAGCAAGGACAGAGGGTTCCTGTGAGCAGCCCCAGGTGCCAAAGGGAACAGCTCTGTCAGGAGGGCAGGGGGCAGGTTTGGAGCTTGTCATGGGCTCGTTTCTCTGGGTGAGCTGTGCTTACCCTTCTGAGCAGATCCACGGAGGCAGAGTCCCAGATCTTGTTCCTGGGCTCTGCGCAGCGAGTGTGACTTGTCCATGAAGATGGATGCAGGGCTGCTAGTGGCCTAGAGACCAGGGTGGGCTCTGTGTGGAGCTCCAGCATGGTATGGAGCTTCCAGAGACCCCTTCTGGGATCCCATTGCCTTTCATACCTCAAACACCCCCAGCTGATGTTAGCCTGAAGCCTGAACTACGAGGTGGTAGATGGCACGTTCCTGCATGCTGTGCATGATAGCAACTGCAGACTGGCTGTTTTGAACCAGCTCCTCTGTACTTCAAATCCTTCAGTCCCTCAAACATAAGCTGACTGCAGTCAGCTCCAAGCATGCAAGGCTCTGCTCCTCTATCTTTGGTCTGTCCTGGCTGGATAGAGCAATGTCAGTAATCTTCAACACTCTCCATGTCTTGGAGAAGCACAAGGCTGGAAGGAACCTCCCAGGCCACGGTCTGGAGCTGGCTCTATAGGAAACTACATCCTGCAACTGCTCAGAGCTGGCAGGGAGAGGGTCGCATCCAGGCAGTGCCAAATGGAGCTGGATCTGCCTGACACAAGTTTCAAATAGCTCTGCTGCCACTGCAGTCAGGAATCTCTTGGTGCTTAGGAAGGCGTTGCACTGACATTTCCTGTTACATTCCCCCTTCTCCTTTAAATAATCCCTTTCATAGAGAGGATGCAAGAAAATAGATCAGTTGTAGCTTAAAATAGACAAATCTGATTAAAAGGCAGTGAAAGCATTTCTTTGTTCTCACTTAGCTGTACAACAGCCCGGGTAACACTGCTGCCAGATGAGGGATGCAAGGGGCAGCAGCAGCTCCTCCAGCTTGCCCTGCTCAGAAGGCTGGGTCTCCTCTGGGGTGCCCCAGCGATGGGGCCACTGCTCTGAGAGCATCAGCCTCTCTGGATTAGCCCTCTGGTCACAGCACAGGTTAAGAGGGAACTGGCCTGTTCCACTTGGTGTTAAGGAGCGATGCACACTAGAGAGAACAACCCTGCCTGTTTGTCACCCTCTGGCAGTGGCAGGGGAGAGCAGGCACCAGAGCTCCTGCTGGCTCCAGTGCTTCCGGAGCTCTTCTCTTTGCAAGAGAATTGGGTATTCTGGCACTGCAGAACTGCCCCAGGGTAAATACACTGCTTGCTGATGGGGGAGAGAGGTTCTGCCTGGTGCAGGTTGTCTCCAGGATCAATCTGCCTTTGAATTCCCATGTCTGCTGCATAGCTGCCTTCTATTAACCATTGTTTAACTCCTCCTAGCTCAAAATAAGTAACTAGCTCCAAAGGAGAGCCTTGGGTAGCAGCTGGATTGGGATGTTCATCTTCACTGCAGAGAGAGCTAGTAACAGCAATTTGGTAAATGCTCCCTGGCCTCAGCCTCTGCTCTGTGGTGATAAAGAGGATACCAGCAGAAGCTGCCCTCGTGGAGAGAAACTCAGGGATGTTGTCACATTCCTGAGCCTACAGGCTCAGAAAGAGGGGGTTAAAAGGACAGGTGCTGGCGTGGGACTGGCTTTCCACATACCTCAGCATTATCAAAGCCTCTCCATCTTCATGTTCTAGTCTTGTGGGAGTAGGAGCTTCCTGGCTTGATGCATCAGTCTTGAGCTGCACTGATCCAAGGCAGGATCAAGTTGAAACACAGCCAGAGGCCTCTGGGATCCTCACCCAGGGTGTCTTGTGCCTGATGCTGAGTGTCAGAGGTGCAAGTGCTGAGCCAGCAGCACACTTGTCTTAGTGCAAAGGGGGGTTGGTGGAGGGGTAGGTGGCTGTTTCCTCCCCTCTGGAAGAGGCAGAACAGGGTCCTGGTGCTGTCTTGAACACCCTGTCGTGTTTCACAGGCAGAGCACGAGCTGAGGCTCACGCAGACCGAGTTTGACCGTCAGGCCGAGGTGACACGGCTCCTGCTGGAGGGGATCAGCAGCACACACGTGAGTAACGGGGTAACTGGGGGTGATGGGGACTACAGGGACTCTTGACTCCTTTCGAGGAGGATGCCAGGAGGATGATGGAGCCCTGCACTGGGAGTAGAGGTAGGAGAGGTCATAAACTTGGATGCTACAACAGCCTCCTCGTAAGACCTGGAATGCTCAAACTAGAAACATAATGAAGCTTGCACAGGCAGTGCCACTGGCATCTGCAGTCCTCAAAATGCTTCCCAGCCAGGAAAACCTTGTTGTTCTGCCCCTAGAGCTGTGGGTTAGCCACAGGGACATGGCTGGAGTGCCAGAAGCAGCCTCCTCTCCGAGATCACACGCGGGTCTATGCAACATTCCCAATCTTAACAGATTAGTGTATTCAGCAAACCAAGTAACTCTTTTGAATACACGAGTCTGCTTCCCTTGGGGTAGGCAGTAGCTGCAGGAGAAGAGTTCCTGTGCCTGGTGACCACTCACAGCCCAAACTCCTGCTCTCTCCAGGTGAATCATCTTCGCTGTCTCCATGAGTTTGTGGAGTCTCAGACCAACTACTATGCTCAGTGCTACCAGTACATGCTGGACCTGCAGAAGCAACTGGGCAGGTGAGACAAGAAATGGCTTTTACTTCTCTGAGGGTTACCCCTAGCTCTGGCCTCCTTCCCCATCCCACATCAGAGAAGTTATAAACTCCCTCTAAGCTCTCCCAGTGCTTCTGAGCACACAGACTGGAGGCCAGTCCTGGTGGGAGTGCCTCTAGAGCAGGCTTTGCCATTGGATTCATCTGGGGTTTTTACATTCATCTCTCATGGTGGCCATGAGAATTTGAACATTATTCCTCTAAATGAGTTAAATCACTTGGGAGGCAGATTGCTGTTGCCAAGCAGCAAGCCTGAGCATGCTCATCTGCAGCAGGAACCAGGTCTGTGCTGCAGGCTGCACATCCCATGGGCATGGGCAGGGATGTTTTGTCTGTTACCTGTCGCATCAGCCTGACCCAGGAGGGGCTGTTGTTGCCTCTCTCTGATCACTTACTACTCTCGTTCCATTCTTTTCCATGCTGGCAGCTCCAAAGGAGAAATGTAAGTAAGATGTTGCACACAACTTGCTCTAAGAGCTCTCCACCTCAGCCTCCACCTCATTGGAGAGGCCAGAGCTGCACTCCCTTAGAGCAGAGTGGGCAAATGAGATCAGTGAGGCTGAGCTCCATTGCTGACTCTTTAGAGAGCCCAGAAAGCTTGGGAGCCTCCAGCTGTGGCATCCAGTTTAACAGCAACAGTGCCTGTCCCTTTCCTAAAGGACGATAAACAGATAACACAGAGCACGTGAGAGCAGGGCAAGGACACGGCACCACGGACCCAGTAAAACAGCCACAGCTCCCAGACCAGCTTTAGTGCCACGCTTCAGTGTCGCACTCTGCAAGCTGGGTGCCAGTCCTGTAACAGGACACTGGAATCAACATAAGCCCACAAATACATTACCTGTGGCATTTCCCCAGCCAAAGGGCAGCACAGATACACTGCAGGTGTTACCCGAACACTTGAGCATCATCTCTTCAGTGTAAGCACTGAAAGCAGCTCGCTCTTGGTTCCTCACCCTGGAGCCTCACTGAACCGTTCTTCTCCTGTGTAAGATTTTCAGGCACGTTTGTAGGCAATGCAGAATCCACCTCTCCTCCCCCAGCTGCTGCCTCTCCTCCGGCGGGTGCTGCTGCCACCCTCCCTGCTGTGCCTACCATCCCGGTCGTGCCCACCATTGTTGGGGTGCCCAATGCCGTGGCAGAGGGTGTGCTGAACCCAAATGAAGTCAAGCCTCCGGCCAGTGGCACACGGAAGGCCAGAGTCCTCTATGATTACGAAGCAGCTGACAGCACCGAGCTGGCGCTCCTTGCAGACGAGGTTGGTAGCTTCCCTTTGGGTTCAGTGTTGCTGTAACTGTCTAACAGCCCCTTGTGTGCTCAGCATGCTCTTGGGTTACTTTTCCTGCCCCTAAACCCCCTGTTTTATGGAACTGCTCATAGTCTTTTTCTTGACAGTAGTACCCACTGAGTTGCAGTGAGCTTGTGCTCATGGCTATCTGCTATTGAAGAACATCACCTCCATAACTCCTTTGTACCTATTGGAGTCCAGTTGTACCCAGCTAACCAAATACCCCAATACTCAGTATCGTCACTGTCAGCTCACCCTCAAATGCAGCCTCCTGACCCAAGAGCAGTGGGTAACAACCTGCTGGTCTAATCATGCTGAGAAGAAAAAGGAAACTCAGCAAACTGAAAACTCTTTTGTTCACTAGACTGAACTTGGTATGAAGAAGGGATTGGCACCAGCAGTATCGTGCCACCCTGTGTGCAAAAATACCTGAGATTTGGAGAATGAAAAGGCAACAGGGACTTCACTGGGCAGATTCCTGCAGATCTTCTGCTAAAGCTGCTCACGGCTGCAGGGAAGGGGCACTGGTGCCTGCTGAATGAGCTTCAGGCATTAATGTTCTTTCAGCATCCACCAGACTGAACTTCTCAGCTCTCTCAGCAGAGTCAGGCCCTGTCTGACGCTGTCTTCTCTCCCCAGATGATCACTGTGTACAGCCTGCCAGGCATGGATCCCGACTGGCTCATAGGGGAAAGAGGGAACCAGAAAGGGAAAGTTCCTGTCACTTACTTGGAACTGTTAAGTTAAATGTTTCCAGGAAGAAGAATGTACAAGCAGAATGCACCCCTCATCTCCTGGCACTCCTAATGCGGACTTCTTCATCCGAGACCATTGCTCTCTTCAGGGTCGACACTCCATTGCTAGTATGGGAATTGTGGGAAAGGAGTGGTAAACTGTTACAGGAAGGTTTTGGGAAAGGGCTGATGGCACCCAGGACTGGATTCATTCACTACCAGTGCAGCTGCTTTGGGGTTAGTCTTGATGGTGCAAGATTCCTTGATCACTTGTTTCTTTTCCTACCCTACCCCAGTGTCATTTGTCAGAGTGGCTTTCCCAGGGCGAGCAAGCTGTACCCCTCAGCTCATGGGGTTTAAGTTACACTTCCCTTGTGCCTGGTGTGGGTTGGTGCCTGTCTGCCCCTCCTGTCCTCCCTCCTCAGCAGTAGAATTCCCTAAGTCAAACCATCAAGCATTCCAGTGGGAAGTGTCCCACACCAACCCTCCTATGGTCCTAGCTCTTAAGGCAAGGAAGCTGAATTCAAGAGCCCATTAAACCCAACCACCTTGCTCACCAGTGGGAGAACAGGATCAGGAGGCTCTTCCAGAGCTGTGCTTACTGTCGTGGTGCCTGATGGCTTCAATCTCGACTGTCCAATGAAGCTGGAAGGGAATTTCTTTGTGAAGACCAACCTAATAACATAGGGTCTGTATGTCAAAAATCAAACCTCAGTGCAAGGGACCATGCATCTTGCTTGCATTTCCCCTGAGAAACTGCTCACAGATTGCAAAGAGTTTACAAGCCTTTTTACAAGCTTTGCTCCCTGTGGTAATTGTCCAGCTTTTCTTTCAGTGTGTCTGGTCCAGGCATGTTTTAGCCTGACTTTATTTCCCCTTGGATCACTGATTTAAGTAATGCTTCCCCTCCCATCGCAGCAGTGAACAGACTTGGTGCAGAAAGGGATAATCCCACTTGCTGTTATCTCCAGCCACGAGCTGCTCTTGGCCATACCCACACTAAACAAGCCAGGCTGCCCGTGGTGGTTTAGCTCAAAGGGAGCGCTCAGGTGTGTCTGCCTTTTAATCCTATAATGAGCTTTATAGCTAGAGCTCACCTAGAGGACTCCTGCTGCTGTGTATCTAGTTTTCCACTCAAGCTGGATGGAAGAGAAACTCGCCTGCACCAAGCTCTGTGCTCGCAGCCTTCCCCTCGGTATGACAGAACTCACTTTGCTTGTTTATTGATCTTTTGCACTTTCCCCACTGGTATCGTGACCACTCTAATGTAACAGGGCACTGAGCACCTCGGGGGGGGGCTCACGGGTTTCAGCTCTTATTTGCCAATAAACAAACTGCCTGAGCTCCTGCCTCAGTGTCTGCTGTGGGGTCAGGCCTGTCCCTGCTCTCCAAGCAAGGGATGCAGCGGGGGTGGGAGCGGTGCCCTTCTGCTACCCCAGCCTTGGAAGCTGCTCATCCTTCCTGTCCCAGCTGGAACTCTCACCACATGCCTTAACATTGCTAATGTCTTGTAGTCCCCTCGCAGATGGCACAGCTCAGTTGTACTTACACACTCAGGAACAGCAACTCCTCCTTAACCTGAAGCAAAACCACAGCAGCAATACGACTTTAGGTGCTGAGAGACTGGAGATGCTGTTCTAGATCTAACGGGCTTTGTTGTTGTTATGGAAACTAGATCAAAAATCCTAAAGCCTTGTCCCTAGCACCCAGCTTGGAAGGAACTCCTGGGAAAAGCAGCTGTTGAAGTGCTCTGCAGGGCAGCAACAGTGCTCAGGTTTTCCAGTTAAATGAAAGGGAATGGGGGAAATAAAATCCTGTTACTTTGTTAGTTTTACAATTGCCCTGATTACAAGTACCACAGTTGTAATCCCTCTTGTAGCCCTACCCCTATTTCCCTTCCAGCTTCCAGTGTCTGTGCCTTTCCCTCAGGCCAGTGACATCCCCCCCTTCCCTGTTACTCATCTCCCTGGTGTGTTAAAGAGGAGGAATAGTTTTAGCCAAACCAGCAGCAGCTTAATGATGCAGAAAATGGTGTCTCATCCCTCAGAACAGCCATCAGGAAGGCTGGTCCTGGCACCAGCACTCCCTTCCCTCTGCATTAGGAAAGAGCACATGCAAAATCTAGTGCTGCTCCTCACTGGGTCTCTACAAGCAGCTTACACTCTCGTGCTGCTCACTGTAGTCATCTGGGTGTGCTGCCCTTGGCCAAAGGCTGTTTTGTGCCCCTTTGTGGCTGAGGGGCAGGAAAAGGTACACTTCAGGGCTGAACTGCTGCTGTCTGAAGTGAAGCTACAGCTCTAAAATGCAGCTGTAACCAACAGCATCCACTGCTCTTTGCCACCTGGCACCAAGGACTCCTGCCTAGCACCGTAAACTCTCATTCTAGTGCCTGAGGAAGTATCTAGAAGAATGTATTCCTTCTCCCTAGACTCTCATTCTGTTCTTGCACACTAGCAGAGATTAGCACACTAACTTCAAAAGCTGTAACAGAGGAAAGATGCCTATCATAGCTGTAACAGCCCTAAGCAACACTGAACTTGCTTACGTGTCCTGGATTCCAGCTTTACTTCCACTCCCCGTAACTACCTGTCACCAATTTGCCACCTCCTTTGCACTGTTCTTCACCTTCAAACCTCCATCTCACACTCAGAGTTCCCCTGTGGCAGAACGTTACTGGTTACAAGTAACCCCACCTAAACACCGTCAGGCTTAGTTAGCACTGTCACACCCTCACTGCAGCTTTTAGAAGGTAATCAAGCCCCTCTCCTACTTTAAGACCACTTCGCTCCAGCCACCTAGTTCAAACCTCTCCAAGGCCTGCAGGGCAAGTGAAACCAGATCAAACACATGTATTAGAATATTGCCATCACTTAGGCACAAAAAAATACCAAACTCAAAGCAAAATAATCAATTTTCTTCCTCTAGTCTCTTAAAACCACCAAGATTAAAAGGTTCTGACGGGTGAAGCAATCAAGCGTCTCTTTAGGAAAGAGGTTACTAGTTCACAGCTACACTGAAATTTGATTTCTTACCTTAGAAAAGCCTGTCTAGATTTCAGGCTTTATTTTAAGCAATAATCACTGACCTCCTCTTACTGTCTCCATCATGTGTTGAGCCTTAGGACCTTGAAGAGTCTGTTGATCTATTAAGAGCTTCAACAGCACAATTCAACCTCACTGCAGACAGTGTCTTCTAGCTTGAACATGTGCCTTCCCCTGCCACTGCAACAGGCAGAGCAGCATCTTGGACCTGAGCACGGAGTAATGTGTGTGCATGGGCTACACCACTGTGTGCAGGAGGAGTATTTTATAGTGATGCTCATTTAAAACCTCCTTCAAGTTCCCCGACATGAGAGTAAGAGAAAAGGAGAGGGTGGGAAAGCCAAAGGATCCAACCTTTGATTATAAATGGCTTCAAGAGGTACCTGGATTATCGCTCCCAAGCCACAACTCACCCCACCATTAGCTGGGGCTTCAGCCCAGCAGAACTACTACACAGAAGATGCAGAATTGGTGCCACAGGCTGCTGTGTCCCACTGAAACCACGAACCCAGCTGCTGTCTATAAAGGTTTTAATATCAGTATAAATAGGGCACAGTTACAAAAAACTGCAAGACTGGAGCAATGGAATTTTGCCTTAAAAACTTTGAGTGAGGCCTTGCTCTTCAGAAACACACACAACACACAGACTGCAGGGTGAAGGGAAGGCGTGAGCACACATACACCATATCTTGCCTTGAACCATTCAGTACAAAAATAGCAGTAGAAAGATGGTCTCTGAATTGCTGGCTGATCCCTTGGTTGCACCTCAACTGGGCTCTGGCTGGGAGGAAGCGGCAGATTGCACCTGTGTTAAGAGCAGAGTTAATGCCCAGCAGAAAGTTTGTCTCCTCTCTCCATCCAGCCACAACTTTCCCAGCTGAGGTACAAGCTATAAAAATAAAGGTTTTGACTGCTCAGCCCTTGCCCCCAGCTCAGCAGATGGAGCGGGCAGGCTGTGCACATGCTGACCCCCAAAAGCTCTTGGCTTTTCTTACATTCACTCTGCTACTGGGTTGCAAGAGTTCATCAGGATCTCGCTGCTGATGTTACAGCTCTGTTTGCACCCCTGCCCACACCAGGCCTCCCTCCCTTGCCCAGTCCTTGTTACGAGCTCTCTGCCAAAGGTGATGCCTTCTGTGGTGGATGTGAATCGTTCCGCTGCAAGTCCTGGCAAGGGAGGCGGCGGCAGGATCGCATCTATCTCTGCACATGCCGGACGAAGGCCTGCACGAGCTGAATCAAAGGCTCCTGCCCCTCAGGACCCAGCTTGGAGGAGGCTTTCCCTTGGGGAGAGGGTAGGACCCCGCTGGCAGGTGAAGAGGGACCACCCCGACGGAAGTAACGGGACAGGCTGGAGAGCAGAGTACTCTGAAAGCAGAAGCATACAACACATTAGCCTCTATCAAACACAGGTCCCCCTTCCCTCCCCCCAGGATGCTCCAAGCTGTTAAATCATACTGAGGAATGGGCTCTACTGGGCAGACAAACAACCTGCTCCCCCAAATCCCATTTACACCGAACAGGGTCCAAGCTGCTCTCACCAGCTCAGAGCTGAGCTCCTGTTTCATGCGCTGCTTGTCACGGGGATGCACCGCTGGGTCTCTCAAGTACCGAACGGCCTGGGAGATGAGCAGGTAGAAACAGTTCTCCATTGTAAACATGAGCAGAGACCTGTGCAAAGAAACACACAATCAGCAGGAGACCAAAAGGTCAACACACTCTGGTTTCATGGTTAAAAACTCTTAAGGCTTCATGTGCTGGGTACATATGAGGGAACGGTTACTGTTCGTTCCTCTCAAACGCCGGCTGTCAGGGAAGGCTGACAAAAAACTACTGGTAAATAAGCATCCAACAACTCTTTACCTGCATCCTCAGTGGGATCACTTGGGATGGGATGGCTTCACACACCCTCCCCTGAAAATACCCTGCTTGCTTTGGGGAGCTTCTGATGGGCTATCTGAACTCCTCTGCTTCAGAGTGAGAAGCTCTGAAGCTACACAAATGCCTCTAAACCTCAGCTCTGATCCAAGGAGCATTAGGTTCTGTTCCTTGACCATGACCAAATCAAAAAGGTAAAAACTTACTTGAGGGTTTTGGTTCCCTCTTGCATATTCAGCCCTGCAGCCTGAGGGAAAGGTTCCTTCTTCTTATCCAGCTTGGAGGAAAAAGAAGACAAGCATTAGAGACAGGAGATATTCCCATTCTTTGAAGTATCAGCTCAATGAGCACGCTGAGATCACTGCAACTGCTGTGCTCCCCCAGACAGACAAATGGCCAGTACCTCTCCCAGCATGTTAAGGGCCACGTTGACTGTGGCAAGGAGGGTCCCAAAGGAAGGTGCAACATCTGAATCAAAGGCTGGTGTGGTGAAACTCAAAACGAAGAGCACGTTGTACTCAGCAAGGTCCAGCGACTGTGGAGAAAGAAAAGAGAA